TCAAAACATTCTTACCTGTGGTATCACAAGAATATCGGAAAAGATGATCGCAGCATCTAGGTCAAACTTGTTTATTGGCTGAAGAAAATAATACATGAACATACAATAGTTTAAGATACATTCACTATAATTATTGAAACAGTTATTTGCTGCATGATGTTATCAACCCTTCCTATACTAACTTGCCCTAGATGTACAGCTATTCAAAGAGCAGGCAATCAACAGTATTGCCCAGTCCAGGAAGTGACGTTCATACCTGTAATGTCAGTTCACAACATATTTCTGGTGTCTGGACCATTTTAAAGAAATCAGCATTATTATCCTCCTTTATTTTGCGGAATTCTAGAAAAAAATGACAGGTTGAAATGTGACTAAACGGAATTTACGGCAAGGTTAAACTCCAGACAATGCTAAGTGCTGGCCCTTGGGATTCCTGTTTTTGTGTGTTTTTGTGCCTTCAAGTATTGTTGGCCAGAGACCTGTGTGTGCAGTAGATAACCCAATCCCATCAGGGGCTTGCTAGGTACATGTGCTATCCTTGCCTGGTTTGCAGTGTTTTTAGTGGATAAATTTGTTCTATATTTTTTCCATATCAAAGTTTTCATATATCCATTATTTGGACTGGATTTATTTGCAGGGAAATCTATTAAAAGCTAGAGGCACAAGGTCTATTTTACTCCTAGTATGCTAGCTGGTATAAGCTTATAAGTTTTATTAATTTTTACACATCTTTGAAGAATTGCATAATCTAGATAACAATGGAGACCCAATGGAGTAATTTTGTGAGGTTAAATTATCCAATTAATAAATGATTAATTAGATCAAGATGCAGAGGAGCTTTTTAAAAAAAGCATGCTATGGAAAACTTTAAGCTTCTAGATCAACTTTATAGCACGATAATTTATAAATTTACCTGGTAAATAGCGGCCGGCTTGTCTCATAACCCAAACTGGGACTCGGTCGACATCTTCACCTCGAGCTGCTTTCAAGACTCTGTCGTTTTTTAATGGTGGGAAATTCTTGTTGTCAAATAAGTCAGCCATTTTTTAGTATTTTACTGATCTAAAGAGATAGAACTAGAGTAGAATTTACCAATTTTGCTCTAACTTTGTACACTTGCTGCACGGCACACTCAGTCGCTTCCAAACTAAGGACACGTGAGTCATTGGGATCCCTGTGTTCTAAAGTATTTTTACTGTCACGCACCTTTGGTCGGCCTTTGGTCACGCATTTATCCATTTAGGCTTTCTTATATTAGCTGTTTTGACAGCCGGTTGGTCGTTGATTTTTTGTTTGTCAGTCAGCGCTGGATGAACTCAGGCTATTCGTCACTGTCAGTTTGAACCAATAAATTTTGAGTATATCATTGCTATTTAACCTCTATTAACCGTTCCATGGTCTTTCCTAGTGGCGACCGGTAACTTTATATTTTGACTCATCTGGGTTGTCTACCTCCCGGTGGTTGGAATCAATACAGCTGGGGAGAAATATTACGGAATCCGGAATATTTTGAAGGAAAAGTTATTGAATACAGGATATTTAACAACGTTCAAAATGACTGGGAATGATGAAATAGTTAAATAAAACTCCTAAGGAATAATAAATAATGAAAAAATCAAAAATGAAAAAAGTCAAAAATATCATAAAGAATAATGAATAATAGCAAAAATGTATAATGAATAATGGGGGAATATGACACGAATACAGAATAATTGGCAAGTAAATATTCACCAAGAATAGATAATACACGTAAATTAATTTTGAAAGGGAATACTTTGTTTTTGGCAACACCGGAATACTCGCTGTACTCGCTTCAAACCACAAATGAATCTGAGTTTGGCTAACGTCAGCAAATCTCACTGTGGTTGTGAATGTCAGTTGCACCCTCTCTCGCTCTCATCTTAAGTCAGTTTCAAAACACTGATGGGGAATCCCCACCCGGAACATTACACGAATTTGAAATGAATTTTAATAGCCTGCGTCCAACCGAAATAAAAAAAAATCCCCTTGACAGTTCTGAATTCGCGGTAGTTTCCCATCTAGTTGAACCAATAGCACAAAAACACGCTCATAGTGACGCAAAGTGATCTTATCCACCAAAGAAATAGCAATCAAATAGCATCGTGCATTGTATAAGTACTCATACTCCGCACCGCAAAATGTTTCCCAGCAAAATATTTTTCAAGATCTTGATCACACTTTTGCTTGCTTTACTGACCTGTTATTTTATTGACCACTTGGCGAAGGAAATCACGTCGAGTTTTTCACTCACATCAACTGCATTAAACGTCGGGCAAATGTTGCTAAATTCCTTCAGGTCAGAGGACGTGAAAACCACGGACCTGACATCCGCCGAAGAGCTCGTCAGAGGATTAACCTTCGACAAGTATAACGAAGAAATTTCTTGTAAAATTCTCTCGAAAATCAAAAAGGAAGACTTCGAAGAAGTTGTCGACAGAATAGCCACTCGCCATAAAATTCCAGAGAACTATAAACAGGCGATTCTGGATGGGAAATTTGGCGAAGTGAATCGAGAAGTTATCCGTGAATTCAAATTCGAGAAAGGAAAACATGGAACAGTACAGTACGGCCGAACATTGACAATCAGAAGAAAAGATGGCACCATCGATTTAGCTTATGCTTTGTTCTCTTTGGAGTTTAAATTGTCACCCATAAGAATTGAAGAACGAATACGTAAAAGATTTCTTTTCATCACTTACGGATCCCGTACTATTGTACGTTTTGAAGAGCGTAATCTGTCGGAAAAAGACAAGGATAATTTATTCGATTTCTATCGTTCCAAGGCTCTGAAAGGATTCATGAAAGAATACCCAGCACTGGAAATAAAGCGTGATGAACTTTGAAGACGCTGCGAAAAGCTGAACTCCAACTGATTCGCTACGATAAAATAGATAGTTAGATGCTGCACTTATTAAACATTTTTTTCTTCGTTTTTTTTAAGCTTCTTGCATATGCATGCATAAAAATCACAACTTTTAATATAAGAAATACATAAAAAATGCAGGTGCTTTGGAAAAATTCCTCATGATTTAATTCCTTTTTGGGAATTATAATTGTAATGCATGTCAGTGTGAGAGAAACGTTATAGCATACATGGTATATTTTTTAATGTAATAGTAGATTAAAGCCAAAAATTTTAGTATGAATATTATTGTAGATTTGAGTTTATCTCAACCAGGTAGATGAAAAATTCAGGACCAGTAAAATGATTTATCGGGTTGTTTTCAACCAGGTTCCCATACTTTGATATACGCAATTTTGAATGAATGTTAAGTATTACAAGTTTATTACAATAAAGTAGTGGTAATATCACAAGCTATTACCAAATATGACACCAACATGTCTTCCACCATAAAATTACTACAATTTCTTAATCAAAACACACTCCCTTATAGTCTCCCTCACAGCCTGTTACACTGATGGGCTTCCTGTGGGCACAGCAAGACCAATACTAAAACAGGCTTTGAAGAAGACTATCCCCAGTATCAATCAATCAATGTAAAGCTTTTAGTAATGCTTCTGCACATTCTACAGCAATAGTTGCCTTT